CTGGATCTCATCTCTCTGGATCTCATCTCTCTGGATCTGCTCTCTCTCTCCATCATCTCTCTCTGGATCTGCTCTCACTCTCCATCATCTCTCCGTGGATCTGCTCTCTCTCTCTCCATCATCTCTCTGGATCTGCTCTCTCTAGCGTCGTCGTTGGTAGAGCACTTGTCGTCAGTTATGGACTGTTGAATCCATTATTTAGGTTTGTGTTAATTTTGTAGAATCCATATAAATTTTGGGTAAAATTGAATTGAATGTTAGTAGGTACAGATTCATTAGGGTATACTCTGAAATTTAGTTTTTGTTTCATAATCTTAGTGTACCGAAAAAAATTACAAACCTTTTAAAAGCATTTTAAAAGGTTTTAAATTGATTTTTAATGTGTTTTATACAGGTTGGAATCTTCATAAAGATTATCACGGTTTTCGTAATGGATTGTGGTGTTGTTGGTGGGACTAAAGGCGATTATAAAGCTTATGAGGAATATAGCGTTGTGTCCTACTGTTAAAGAAGTTGTTATATGTGAAGGATCAATCCCTTGTTTGGTTCCAATGTTGAGGTGGGCGATTTCAGGTGTGAGAATTGCAGCTGGAAAAATGTTGGTGGTGTTTGCTTGCATTTGTAAAAGGTTGTGGTGTGGAGCTGTAGTGGTGCTTGTTCTCATCCACGTTCTTGGCTTTATTATAATATAGTTATCTTCCTTGTTTCTTTGCTATATGTAGATACATATGTATGTGGTTAAGATCTTGGTAAATAATATTATGAACATGATGCTACACGTAAAATACAAAGCAATAAGGTCTTAAAAACTTTGAAAACCTATGGAAATAATGTTAAAGTATTTAAAAGGTCTTACAAGATTTTAAAAAGCATTTGAAAGATTTTACAAGCCTTTTATAAGGTTTAAAAAAGGTTTTTAGAAGACTTTTAAAAACTTTTAAAAGTATTGAAAAGATTTTACAAGCCTTTTTTAAGATTTTTAAAAGGTTTTAACAAGTTTTTAAACGCTTTTATAAGGTTTTGTGAAGTATTTACAAGATTGTAAAACCTTTTAAAACCCTTGTATTTTAATAAGGTGTTTAAAATGTGTATTAAGGCTTTATAAAGTTTTTAAAAGGTTTTTATAAGGTTTTTATAAAATGTTTATAAGGTTTTTATAAGGTTTTTATAAGGTGTTTAAATGTATATTAAGGGTTTAAAAACTAATTAAAAAGTGTATTAAGGCTTTATAAAGTTGTATAAAAGGTTTTTATAAGGTGTTTAAATGTGTATTAAGGCTTTATAAAGTTTTTAAAAGGCTTTTATAAGGTTTTTATAAGGTGTTTATAAGGTTTTTATAAGGTGTTTATAAGGTGTTTATATGGTTTTTATAAGGTTTTTATAAGGTTTTTATAAGGTTTATAAGGTGTTTAAATGTATATTAAGGGTTTAAAAACTAATTAAAAGTTTTACAATGTTTTTGTAAGGTTTTGTGAAGCATTTAAAAGATTTTACAAGATTTTTGTATAGCTTTTAAATGTATTTTACCTCCTTACAGTTCCATAGAAATCTTCCATTCATGTCACAAAGGTAACAAATAGTTACATACATTAGTATTAACACATGAACTTGAGGTTGAAATACATATTAACACAGTAACATACATAAGTATTAACACAATGAAAGAAGAACCATCACAACCAAATCAGAAGTAGTTAGCGATTACAAACAATAATTACGGGTTTAATGGAATATATCTTAGACTCTAATTTCACTTCTCCAAAAGCTATGCATACATAAAAGAAATTCGTTTGTTCATTTGTAAAGCCCACTGTAACCTCCTTCTCTTTTGTCCACTTATTAATCTCTACAACGAGCCAACACGTTACATGACGAGGTGAATCTTGATTCTGTTCTCAAGCTTCTTAAGAGTTATATGTTCAGCAATTCTAAGATCTCCAGCATCTAATCCACGAGAGCTTATAGCCAATTCTGCGACTGTGACATCAAGTGATTCAAAGCTTCAGTTTCTGCAGTCAAGAGGATACAATGCACCTGCAATTAAAGAACTAATTAACTAAAGCTAGAGAGAGAGAGCCAAAACTGGTCTCATCTAGTCCATTACCTCAAATACATGATATATGAGTCTCATCTAGTCCATTTAACACATCAGCTCTTCTAGACAACAAAACCAACATAACAACACCAAACCTATAGTTATCAAGTTTCTCTACAACACTAAGTATCTTTCATTGG